TAATACCATGCAGTTTTGATTATTATAGCTTTGTAATTGAAGTTTGGGATTGTAATGCCTCCATTATGTTTCTTCTTAGTCATGAGAGTTTTGGCTATTTGAGATCTTTTGAGTTCCATATGAATCTCATTCAATATTTTTTCTATTTCTTTGAAGAATGTCATTGAGACTTATTGGGATGGTATTAAATCTGTATATCGCTTTTGGCAGGATGGCCATTTTGATGATGTCAATTCTCCTGATCCATGAGTAGGGAATGTCTTTCCAGTTCATGGTGTCTTCTTGAATTTCTTTTAACAGTGTTTTGTAATTTTCTTTATATAGGTCTTTTACCTCTTTGTTAGGTTGACTCCCAGGTATTTGATTCTTTTTGTTTTAATTGAAAAGGGGATGCTTTTTAAAATTTCTGCTTCTTCTGATTGGTTGTTTGTGTATAGGAAGGCCTCTGACTTTTATGTGTTGATTTTATATCCTGCTACCTTGCTAAATTGGTTGATGGTTTTGATTAATTTCTCTGTGGAGCCTTTATAGAGTTTTCCATATAAATTAACATGTCATCTGCAAATAAGGATAGTTTTACTTCTTCGTTCCCTATTTGGATTCCTTGTATGCCTTTTTCCTGTCTTATTGCTCTGGCTAGAACTTCCAATGTTATGTTGAAGAGCAGTGGTGATAGTGGACAACCTTGTCTTGTTCCTGATCTCAAAGGAAAGGCTTTCAGTTTTTCTCCGTTGAGGATAATATTGGCTGTGGGTTTGTCATATATGGCTTTTATCATGTTGAGATATGTTCCTTCTATTCCGAGGACTTCAAGGGCCTTAAACATAAATGGGTGTTGAACCTTGTCGAATGCTTTTTCCGCATCTATTGATATGATTATATGGTTTTTATTCTTCTGTTGGTTGATGTGATGGATTACATTAATTGATTTTCTGATATTGAACCATCCTTGTGCTCCTGGGATAAAGCCCACTTGGTCATGGTGTATTATTCTTTTAATGCATTGTTGGATTCTGTTAGCTAAGATTTTGTTGAGGATTTTTGCATCGGTGTTCATTAGGGAGATTGGTCTGAAGTTTTCTTTTTGTGTGTTTTCTTTGTTAGGTTTTGGTATTAGTGTGATGTTGGCTTCATAGAAAGTATGTGGTAGTTTTCCTTCTGTTTTGATTTTCTTGGATGAATCTGTGTAGAATAGGCACTAGTTCTTTTCTGAATGTTTGGTAAAATTCATTTGTAAATCCATTCTGTACTGGGCTTTTATTTTTAGGGAGGGTTTTGATTACTTCAATTTCCTTGCTTGTAATTGGCCTGTTTAGTTGTTCTATTTCTTCTTTATCTAGCATTGGGTGAGTTGTAGAAATTTGTCCATTTCTGCTAAATTGTCAAACTTGTTTGCATATAGTTGTTCATAGTATTCTCTGATTATTCTTTTGATTTCTGCTGGATCTTTTGTGATTTCTCCTCTTTAATTTACAATTATGTTTATTTGTGCTTTCTCTTGTTTTTTTTCTTTGTGAGCCTGGCTAGTGGCCGGTTTATCTTGTTTATTTTCTCGAAGAACCAACTTTTGGTTTCATTGATTTTTTGGAATGTTTTCCCAACTTCCATTTCATTTATTTCTGATTTGACTTTTATTATTTCCTGTCTTCTACTGGCTTTTGGGTTATTTTGTTGTTCTTTTCCCAGCTCTTCAAGGTGGGAGACTAGGTTGTTTTTTTGAGTTATTTGTTTCTTTATGTGAGCTTGTAATGCTATATATTTTCCTCTTATAACTGCTTTTAATGTGTCCCATACGTTTTGGAGACTTGTGTCATCATTGTCATTCTTCTCCAGGTATTTTTAAATTTCTTCTTGATCTCCTCATTGATCCAACAGTCCTCCAAGTGTGGGTTTCAGTCTCCATGTGGTTGGTGGGTTTCTTGTTTTCCTGATACGGTTTCTTTCTAGTTTGATTCCTTCATGGTCAGAGAAAATAGTTGGTATGATTTCGATCTTAGTGTATCTATTGGTATTTATCTTATGACCCAGTATGGTATTTATCTTATGGTATTTATCTTATGGTATTTATCTTATGACCCAGTATGTGTTCAATCCTAGAGAATGATCCATATGGATTTGATAAAAATATGTACTCAGATTTTTTTGGATGCAGTATTCTATAGATGTTTGTTAGACCCATGTTTTCCAGGTGCTTGTTCAGAACTTCAGTGACTTTGCTTATTTTTTATCTTGTTGATCTGTCCATTGTGGAGAGTGGCGTGTTGAAGTCTCCTACTATGTATGTATTTTCTGAGATATACGTTTTCATAGATGGCAGTAGTTTCCTGATATTTTGGTGCTCCTTCATTTGGTGCATATATATTAATGATTGTAATGTCTTCTTGCTGTACTGTCCCCTTAATCATAATATAGTGGCCTTCTGTTTGTCTTTTATCCTTTTTAAGATGAAGTCTATTTCATCTGATATAAGTATAGCTGTTCCTGCCTTCTTTTTTGGTCCATTTGCTTGTAGAATTGTTCTTTATTCTTTTATTTTTTATCTGTTTTTATCTTTTGTAGTTAGGGTTGTTTCCTGTAGGCAGAACAGAACGTTGGGTTCTGTTTTTTAATCCATCTTGTCACTCTGTGTCTTTTTATTGATGAGTTTAAGCCATTTACATTTAGAGATAATATTGATATACTGGCACCTACATTTGCGATTTTGGTCCTTTTGTGTTTTTATCCTTTTTGCTTTTTTAAATCTACACACCAGGGATTGTTAGCTTAGCTGTCTGCATCTGCTTTTTACACATGTTTATTTTAGTGATCTTGCCCTGCAGCATGGACGGGCTAGCCTTGTATTTTTTCTATGATGTTTCGCATATTGCAAAATCAGAGACCCAAGGTGTCCCCTTGAACTGACTCCCCCTTCTGCACGTGCCCCCTCCACCCAGCTAAACCCCACTTCCTTCCAGGAGTGTACCTTATTCATTTGCATTGTGCACTTAGTTCCCTGCCCTTGGTCTTCGTAGAACACTGGATTTGGACATCCCCTCTACTATCCCTACCCTGCCAGCTTGCACAGCTATTATCCTAAGAGTGGGGCCCTTGTGTTTATATGCCATTCTCTGTGAAGTTCCTGGTGATTTGCTATTTAATCATTGTATCACCGACTCATAGAACTTATGAGTCTAGTGTTTTGTACTAATGTGTTAGGACATAGCTGCTGCACGTACCTGGAAATGGAATTACTGGTCCAACAGCATATGCCCTGTGAGTCTACCCAGTTGTCCTATCAGTTGCTGTCCTGGTCATCTTGCCCCAGCACAAGGATGGCCATCCCCCAGGCTTTTCATCCTTTCATTTCCTCTGTGGGCCAGACATACATTTCAGGGCCCTTTGTGGGACCCATCCGTCACCAGCACTGGGGCACTATCCTAGCCAGTCTCCTATAGATGTCTACTCTGTTCTCTCATGAGGTGTAGAAAAGGAATATGTGTTCTTCCCCTGTCCTGTTGCCATGGGCACCACCTGGGTACTCCTGCAGCCACTCCCCCGCTGCAGGGCAGCCTGTCTAGGCCCAGACCTTGACTCATTTAGTACTCTCTCCAGGTGCCTCAACTATGTCCTGGAGGAGGTGAAGCAAAACGCCAAAGCTGAAGTGATGGTAGCCTCCCACAATGAGGACACAGTGCGCTTCACACTGCGCAGGTAGGGGCTGCCCCCTGCAGGGCTGTCAAGTGCACCTTGTTTAGGAAAGGGTTCAGGATGGGCTCCTTGGAAATCTGTGCAGAGAGATTTCTGAACAGATAGGTGCGATGGGTGTTTTGGGGAGATGATCTGTGAATGAGTTGGGACGATGGCTTTACAGCCTGCCTGGTCCCCACCTCCCAGACCCAGATCCTTGCATTAGCACTTCAGGAACAAAATGGCTATTTGTAGCTGCGTTGTTTTTAAAAGTACATTATTAAAATTTGAAATTGGAGAAGTAAATTTCACTGGTGATCTAAATAGTTTATTGAAATGTACAAATACAGTGTGAAGTCATGGAGTCCTCCAGGAGTCCTGACATGTCACCTGTTTTAAATGGAAATGCCTGTCTCATAGAGTAAAACCTGTCAAGTCAGATGTAAGAGTAAGGTGAAGTATATTCTTCAGTATTGTCACTGTTATGTTATACTTAACCCAAGCATTGCTATACCAGGGGTTTCCTCTCCTTACCTCCCTCCATCTCTTTCCCAGGAGTTCGGCCCTGGGTGGCAGCCTTATTGACTCATCTTTCCCAGGAGCAAAGCAGAGGTCCCCCAAGCCAGGCAGCCCAATGCAGAACTGACTGGACATTCTAATCTCATTCAGGAACATCATATAGTCTGACTACCTTTTAAGTCTGAGATTGCAACTGAAAACCATGATTTCTTCCTCTCACAGTTGCAGCTATAATGGTGGGACCTTGAGTTCCCAGTTGCCCAGGACACTGCAGACTAAAGCAGCTCCTTCCCCAGTGCTGGGTGGAGGGTGGGGAGCCTAGAGTGCACATGGCTGTGAGCTGCATCCCACCTAGGCAGGGCTATCTGCCTTCTTTCCATTCACCCAAAGGAACTTGCTCATTTTTCTTCTTGGACTCCTCATTCTTGTAGGCAACTCAACTAACACCAAAATCTTAACACCTCTTTCTCTCAGGCTTAGAAATTTTATTCTGAGCTAGAACCTTGATCTAATTTTGCTTCCTCTTCCACTAGGATTGTACATTAGAAGCTATACACAAGGAGCTTCCCATATCCATTTCTTGAAGTTCTAATGGGAGGTAGGTGGCAGCTCTGTGGAAGATGCCACCTTCTCAGCTTTCAATAAGCAATTATAAAGTCATCAGTGTTTTGTTTACCACTCACATTTTAAGCTGCAATCAAAGGGTAGTTTATTACTTAGACTTTACAGAGAACAAAGTTTCCAAGGTCTAATTTGCCATTAGTAAAACTTCCTTTCTTATAATTTCACAATTTTTGCACTGAGAATATGTATCCTCACCATTTAGCTGGGCAGAGGCTCCTCCCTTCTTTAGTGCCAGCTCAATCTTTCCTTCCTCACTGCCTGCAGGGTCTATGCCAGGCTCCTTGAATTCTTCTGTCACTGAGAAGGCTTGACCCTGCTTCTGCTGGTCTTGCTTGGGTATACTCTGCACCTGTGGTTAGCTGGTGGACCTGAAATTTCTCATTCATGGCTGGGGCAGCAAAAGGAACAACCATTAGTCTAGTGTCCAACAGGTCAGGTCAGGGCCAGTGGCCTAGGTGGTGTGAATGTGTCCCATGGGAGGCAGGGCAGATTAGGCTCCAGAGAGTGGGTACAGATGCTGAGTAGGATTTATAGATATAGGAAGCCAGAGATGGAAGAATCATTACACAAATGCTCCAAACTCTGGAAATTTAAGAGCCTAGCAGGGGAAGGCATGAAGACAGGCAAGAGCTCCAGAGCTGGTGATTCCTAAGCCCAATGTGTGCATGGCAATAACAGAAATTTATATAAATTTTTAATTTCAAATTCTCCCATATTAAATGGAAAAATAATTTTAATTGTTTTTCATACAGATTCCTCAGCCTCATGTGTGCTGGACACCTAGTGTCGATTTAGATCTGGTGGCACTGTATGAAACTAGGCAATTAGAAGGGGAGGACAAGAGGCTAGAGTGGGATAACTAGCAACATGGTAGCAGAACAGAAGGGCTTGAAGGTGTGACAGGTTTGAGAGCTTGCCCAGGGTAGGTGCCAGGTGGATCTGCCTGCTGCATTAGGAATGGTGCCATGGTCCAAGGTCACCTCCAGTCCCTGGGGGGAAGCAGAAGAACAGGAGCCCTTGAGGACTGAACAAGTATAGCAGAAAGGGAAGGCTGGTTGCCATCGGGAGGTGGAAGCAGCAGGGTAGAGGCTGCAGAAGAGCCAGCAGTGGGAACCCAGTGCCTTACCTACTCACAGGATGGAGGAGCTGGGCCTGCACCCCGCTGACCGCAAGGTGTACTTTGGACAGCTGCTGGGCATGTGTGATCAGATCAGCTTTCCACTGGGTGAGCAGGGTCTTCCTGGTAAAGGGGGGTTGGAGGGAATGGAGGGCTGGGACTCACCTCCTCTGTCTGCGCCTGCAGGACAGGCGGGCTTCCCTGTATACAAGTATGTGCCCTATGGCCCAGTGATGGAGGTGCTGCCTTACCTGTCTCGCCGTGCCTTGGAGAACAGTGGAGTCATGAACAGGGCCTGGCAGGAGCGCCAGCTACTGTGGAAAGAGCTCAAGCGGAGGCTCTGCACAGGCAGTCTCTTCTACCATCCAGTCTAGTGCTTTCAGGCTATTGACACCACCTACTACGAGGCTTGGCCTGCAGATACCCCTTTGCCTAGGCTGCAGCCTCCTAGACTGAGGCCTGAAATTGGGGGTTCTAGGGAGCCCCTAGGCAAAGCCACAGCTACAGCTTACTTCAATTTCAGACTCATTTTTTATATCTGAAACTGTGAGACACACTGGAAATAGGGCTGGCTACCCTTGGTGCTCTGCCTCACTTCCCTAATCCTTTTCACAATGTGGTAGTCAGGTCAGGGCTGAAACTTGCCAGAATGAGCTGCTGTTAACTGTAAGGCCATCTTGAATGGCCATCTTCCTGAACTCCACTGTGTCCTTGGACTTGAAGGACTGCCTTCCACCAGGGTCTGACACATGTATCTCAAGCACCAGGGTGGGCAGTGGGGAAGCAGGCTGGTCAATAAACCACTTTTTGCAGCTAACAGCCCTCAAGTCCATGCTTGCAAAGCTCTTTCCCAGGAGTGACTGGGATGTCCTGAGCAGTCTCTTAAGATGGGATATGGGGAAGTTCTACCACTACCTTCTTGCATCCCAGACCTGGCAATGCATGGTGTTAGACACCTCAATCCCCAACTCTGTAATTCAGGATCAACACAGGCCCCTATGGACTTGGACTGCTACACAGGATGTTCTCAGGGGCAAGGACCCTGGGTCTCATCCTCCTTCAAACCCTCCTGTTGTACCTTTCACCCCAGTGACCTACCTTAGGCTCCTACTGTTCTGAGAAAAGCTGCCCCACTCTCGTGGCCAAATGCACACCTGTGCGCTCTCACAGAAAGCACACTGAACATGGTCTTGGGGGCGTGGCTGGTGCATCCACTGCTGATTTGTCCACAGACAAGTGATGCCCTATTAAGTGATGCCCTAGCTGGGCCCTGGGTAGACAAGAATTGTCACACAAGTCACATACAGACCATATTGAGGCATCTTTATTTCTTTAGGTCATACAAAGCTTTGGCCGTGGAGCTTCTCCCACTTGGCCTTCCTCCTGCCAAAGGAGGAACTGAGAGTAGAACATGCATGAAGCGTCAGGGTTGGCAGGGGCTAGTTGTGCCCAATGGAGGGCTGTAGAATCTTTAGGCCCTGGTTATGGGCAGCCAGTCAGTAGGTTGGGCCCACTCTCCTCCCTTTGTCATAACATCCTAGAATTTGGGTAAACCAAGACTAAGATGGGCAGCAGGCACAGCCAGGATACACCTGGCCTCTCCTCAGTGTGATGACCTCTTCATAGGCAGCTAGGAAGATGGTGGTCATGCCTGGAAGTCAGGAAGACAAACTCTTTTTAACTTTTGGTTTTTAATGGCCACAGTGGGACAGTGCTGTCTTTCCAGTTGTGAGGTACAGTGGGTGACCAACAGGGACCCCACCTGGTCACAGGGCTGCCTTCCCCACCTGACAGCCCTTCTGCTGCAGTTTCCGGATGAGTTCCAACAGGTTCATCTGCAGTGTCAGCTCCTGAGATGCAGAAGGCTACTGTGAGGGTCAGAATGCTACCTGGTCTCCAATTACTCTGGCAAAGACCACAGCCAAATATTCCTTTTCCTAAGAATACAGAGGATACCCAGTGCCAAGCGCACAGGGCTGATTTCCACTGAGGCCTGGCCACAACCTGCCAGGAACAGACTGCACCTGGGACTCTACTCTTAAAGCAGGGCTGTAGCTGCCCTCACTCAGTGCATACAGATGTATGAAGAAGGGGAGCAGATCAGGATACTGAAGGGTACAGTGGGCCTGGGGAGGGTGGGCAAACCTCTGTACTGAACACAGCACAGAAACCCTTCCTGAAGCCTTTTTTATTACCCCTCCCTTTTTTTTTTTTTTTTTTTTAAGATTTACTTATTTATTCATACAGAACTGAGGTACAGGCCAGAGATATGGAGGGTGAGAAGATTCACCAGGGACAGAGTGGGGAGCAGAACAGGCAGATCGACGAAGTACACTGCTGAGGGGAGCAGCGGGCGGGTCAGGAGAGGTCTGCCACGCCATGTGGATCTCCTCCAGGGCAGGCGGGAATTGAATTCATGCGGAAGTGGCTTTAGCTTCTTAGTGCTGTGCTTTAACCCGCTGCACCACAAGGGAGGGACCCCCACCCCTTTTTTTTTTATTACCCCTACATCCTGAGCCTGGCTTCTTGGGGATCAGTCATAAAACACCGGATGGAATAGGGTCTTTGGGAACCACTGTCACCTGGGCTGTGTCAAGGCAGACTGGGGGCACTGACCTGTGGGTTGGTAGTCACATAGAAGCCAGTGACCCCTGCCTTCTCCAATGTGCTCTGCTGGTCGGCCACTTTCCTGTCCAGCTCTAGAACAATCTTCTGGTCCATTGCCCGTTGCTCATCATGGATCCGGTGCTCTACTGCCTGTCACCATGAGACGGTGAGAGCAACAAGATGGTTACGGGACTCAGGCCTCCTCCATACCCACTTCTCAAACATAACTTCCTAGCCTGCCATCTCCTCCAGCCCTCAAGATCACCCATAGCACCATCCCTGCATCCAGGCCACTCCCCTCTACACTATGTAGAACCCTGTCAAGGGGATCAACTGCCCACTCAAATTTTTCCCTTCAGCACCTACCAATGTCCTTTGCTGGGCCAGACCTTTCCCTGCTAACAGCTTGGGATCTATAAGCTGAGCCAGACATAGGCGTCACCTGTTTGCTGTCTAGCTGGCTACTATCTTGGGGCTTTTATGGTGCTATTTCCCTACTGAGCTACTGATAGACCCCAGCTCTGTGCGTCCTTCCTCTATACCTAGCTTGGGCTCTCTTGGGATCTACCTTGCAAACATCTCTGGGCAACCCCAACACCTGTAGCTTCTTGGTTAGAGGTGGGTTTCCCAGCTCTCTCTGAACAGACTGGACAGGATGGGCTCCTGCTGGTTGGCCATCACTTTACCACTGCTCTTGTATCTCCAAGCCATGAGCACAGTAGTCTCCACTTAGCACCCACCTAGCCTACAAGGAGCAGGTCTTCATTCTCCCATACTAGAACATCCCAACCCCCTATAATGAAGAGCCACATGCAAGGACTCTGAGGCCCAGAAAAGCCCCACCAGTTCTCAAAGCACCCTGCCCACACTCCTACCTCCAGCTCCTGCTGCTGAGCAGCCTGCAGCATGGACAAGTTGTGGGGCCGGCAGGCCTGCTGAGCTTCCTGGTGCTTCTGCCGCAGCGCCTGCCTGAGCACTGGGAGGGGATGACACCAGAGAGTCCCTCAACAGGTGGTAGGGTGGTGAAATCCTCCCACTTCATTGCCTGCATAGTTGTCCCACCAGAGTGGACAAGTGAAGATGCACATGGGAAGGTCCATTTGAAGACTACAGCAAGTACTGAAGTCCTGAGGTACAAGGGAATACCTAGCACCACTATCTAGCCCAGTCTTGCTTTCACCTAGGACAGGACCCTTTCCTACCAGCCAGTCCACAGGGGATCAAGAAGGCACAGAGTGTAGGTGTGGGGTCAGAGCTGCAGCCCAGGCTCAGGAGACCAAGCAGCGTGCCGAAGGTACGTGGGCTCAGATGACCACAGACCAGCAGTCCTGAGTGTGACCTGCTTTACCATCCATGGGCTATGCACTGAGGTGTCTACCCAGGCAAATATAAAAGATTGTTGTGCTCAATCATGGCATGGTTCCGTAACTGAGTTCCCTGACTCAGATCTGCTCTTCAGAGTTGGCAGAGACACCCTGCTCCACCTGCTCCTTCCCCAGCTCCCAGAAACATGGCAGCAGGATAGGTAGAGATTTTGGGAGGGCCAGGTTAAGAGGTGCCAGCAGAGACCTTGTGCTGGAGAATCTGTGTTGCTTTGAGAGGGACTTCCACAGCCACTATATAATGTTCCTATGATCGCTGCTATAATCCTATGATTAAACTGCTAAAACCACAAGCAACTGCAAAACAGTCCAGTCTAAAATGTGTGGGCAGAAGAAAAAGATGTTATGGGATGGAGAGACCACAACCACAAAATAGAACAGTCAACATTATGCAACTCAAGTGGACCAGTGTCAAGTGGAAAAAAATCCGCCTTTAATCTAGGAGGGCTCCTGAGGATCTCCCACCAGGAGCTTGGCACCTGCTGTGCCCTTTACCAGGTTCTTATTTCTCAGAAATTATGTGCATACCTTGACCATGGCAATTACCATGTTAAATGAAATCAAAAGCCACTCTTGAGATATCTCCACAGGAACAAGAAAGACACACCATGGAGGCAGATTTGAGGAAACAGATATAGCAGGGAACTGCCATCTGACTTCAGTTTGGTTTATCAAACATTGCTACAAATCCCAGATCAACTCCCTAATGGGGGAGCAACCAGAGGTAGGGTAAGGGTTGCAGTGCTCTTATGGAAGTAGGCTACCTGTAGTCATGAATAAGGTCATATGCTAGCCTGTTCTCATTCCAGCACACTTTTTTTTTTTTTTTTTTTTTTTGCCAAATCAAAGTAAAGGAGGAGCAGAAAAATAACATAGGGCACTAGGGGCACCAAAAACCTGCCAGAAGCTTCCAAAGGACAAGGATCAAAGTGCCTAGAGTTATAAAAAAAAACAAACAAAAAAACCCAACCCCCCCCCCCGCCCCCGAAAGAAACCTGGGCACTGTAGAGAAATGGCTCGTTTTGCCTTAAAATTTTTTTTTGAAAAAATGTATGATTTTATCTTTCCCCGGATTACTAATCTCTGTGTATACAGATTACCAAAAAGGGAGTAAGTGCAACTTATTGACAGCAAGTATCAGTGGCATTATCACACTGCTTGCATTTGGCAGATTCAAATCAAAAGCAGGCAGAGAAGTTGGAAAGTTTTACAGAGGCAAAGTAGAAGGATCATCTAGGTGGGAGGTTGATGGTATGAGGATGTTGGAGGCAGAGACAGAACAAGAGAAGATGAGCCTGACACCCTCTTTTACCAGAGAGGAGTGGAGCATACTCAAAGAAAGGGACACATCAAAAGGACACAGGAGCCAGCCTGGAGCTCTTACCCTATTAAATGTGGCACAATTGAAGCATTAAAAAAGAATCATAAACTATGTACACTGAATTGTGACTTTATGCATTTTATAGTTCAATAAAAAAGGCAACCACCTAAACAACATTTAGGGCAGTAGTATCAATTCTACAAACTAATCTTGAAAACTGATGAGAAAATACCTGCCAACTTACCCTGTGAGGCCAACATTATCCGGCTGCCCAAGCCCAACAAAGACCTTAAAGTAAAACTACAGAGGCAAAGATTCTTAAAATATTAGCAAATAAATTACAACATATATAAAAAAGGATAACACATACCAAGTAAGACTGATCCCAGGAATGTAGTTTATCCCAGGAATTAAAGAAATCGATGTCAATACCTTAGCAACAGAAAAGCCAGATGACACTATAGATACAGAAAAGGGATTTGACAAAACCCAACACTGATATGTGGCAGAAACACAGTCATCCCAAAGGAGACCCACATTGCCTCCTTAGGACCTTATAGCCAAAAGATAAATTTTCACCACAAATGTTTAACTTGCATATGTTTAATTTGCATCAGGCCTCTACTGCAGTTCAGTTTTTAGAAAAGAGGGTAGATAGATTAAATCACAGCACTTGGAAACAATCCAACAGACAATGGGGGCATGCTATAGGAAGAAAGCTCTGGACTCCTCAAAAACAATAAATGTCAATAAATGTTGGGACTTTTCCATCCCAGAAGCAGAAACCAAAATAACCTCTTGTAACTCATGAACATACACTGGATTCTTAAAAAGTATCAGGCAATTTGAGACAAATTAGGTAATGTGACCATTGACTGACAGCCACAAGATACCATGGAAAGGTTAACTTCTCAGGAGGCTATCCACTGTGGTTATGTAGGTTGCTGATCTAGAACACTGATTCTCAATCCTGGACCATGGGTGTCTGGAGACATTTTTCCTTGTCATTACCTGGGGTGCTGTTCTCCTAGTATATAGAAACTAGGGATGCCACTAAACATCACATGAAGACTAGCAGTCACAAATGTTAAACTCTGGTAGAGAGAATACTCTGGGTGAAAACTCTGGTAGAGAGAATACTGGCAACTTGTAAAGCCCTATGGTGTGGTGTATATTTAAGAATATAAAGAACTTTGGCAAAATGTTAACTATTGAACCTAGGAGGAGAAACAGAATGTTTTAAAAATTTGGGGGAACAAAAAATAACAAAGGGTCTGATGGGGTAGGGAAAGCTGCAGGACGGGGCTCCGAAGTAGCGAACCTTGGGAAGTGCCCAAAATGTATTAAGCTTTGGCTCAGAGTGTGGCTCACATGGGGAAGTTTTCAGGTCCTGTGCACACAGTGTGGGTGAATTCCATGCACAGCGGGTGTGGGGACTGTGCAGCCAGTTTCAGAGGGAACTGAACATAAAGGGCAATGCAGAACTGACAACTCTGGGGCATCACTGGGGCTAGTCAAGCACTACACCACCAGAATCTGCTGTGGGCTACCAAGCACAAAGGCCTTGGGTCATCCTGCCTGAATGGTGTGCAAGCACAGTGTCGCCCAAGCATGGATGGTCATGCTAAAGGGAACTGTGCAACAAACAAAACTGGCCAGACCCATCTGTCACCAAAATAGCGTCACCGAAGGCTCGGCGTCCTTATCTGCTTCATTTTAGGGATTTCTCCTGAATGATGACCAGGGAAAATTACAACCTGTACAGAGTTTTTTAACTCCTCAGGGAAGGGGAATGCGTCCCGCTGGCCCAGCGTACCTCGGTGTTCGTTCTGCAGACGGAGACGCTGGTTGTACAGGCTCTTCTCGGTGAGGTGCTGGATCTCCAGTAGTCCCTGTACGATCTCGAACACAGTGCCGTCGAGGAGTGCCAGGGCCAAGTCGCTGAGCGTGGTGTAGGACAGGCGCTGCTGGAAGGAGCTGCAGACAGAGGCGTGAGGTGAGCGCGCAGGAGCCGGGGTCGCCTCAGCCGCTCGCCTCACTCCGCGGCCGCGCACCTGGGCAGCTCTTTGACTAGGCTCTGCAGTGCCGACAGCAGCTGGTAGTGCCGCTCCTGCTGCCGGGCCCCGTCCGCAGCTTCCTCGAAGGCACCTGCGTAGCGCTCCATGGCGCTCGCGGCCCCCAGCTCCAGATGCCCGCGGATGCGCCGCGCACTCTCTTACGTCAGTCCAGAGCGCGGCGCATCCTGCCTCTTTTTACGACAGCAAAAAGAGCAGCGCGGTTCCGTTTACGACACTTCCGGGCAATTTACGGTTGGGTCTTTGCGCTTTTCGAAGTAGGTTTCGCTTTGCTGCTCCCTGGAAGGGCCAAAGAGGGTTCCACATCGTCCCGCCCCCTACCTTTGCCTTCCAGCCTATGCTACTTTAGAGCTTTAACTGCGCAGTTTCTAAGGTCGAGCGATTCCGAGCCAGCCAGTTCCACACGCACAGATTGGGCGCCGCCTGGCGGAGCAGCGGCTGTGCTATTGTGCTTGGTCAGGTGCCTGAGTTGCTTGAGTGGTGCCTGAGCCACCTGCTGTGTCTGCCTGGGCGCCGCCCGCCCAGAGCGTGGAGTGGTGCCTGAGCCACCAACTCCGCCAGTACAAGCGGCATCATCGTGAACCAGTTACCTTTTGGTCTTGTTTTGCCTTCCAGTTGTGGGAAACTTGTTCAGTCTCTCAGTCGAGCGAGCGCGACGCGACTTCTTACCTGAACTACCCCAAAACGAGCATTGTCATTCACTCCTAGCAGGATGGAGACATTTTGAGATGAAGATCATTTCACTTCATATTTTAACTCCAACTTTTATTGAATGGCTACCAAGTGAAAGATAAGGAAAACAGATACATGTTTTATTGCTTCCCTTAAAGCTGCCTAAGGATCAGTAATTCAGGACATGAACGTCGGTCACCTCATCCCCTACTGAGTACATTCTGAGATTTTTGCAGCAAAACTCTTCCAGAAGGGAGTCAAAAAAGACCTACTTGAAAGTATACTCTGTAGTAAACAGTATTATTTTCATTAGTTTTTGAGCATTATTCCCAGGGAAGCCACATTCAGTAAAATTGGCAATTAGAGGACAGTGCAAAGTATTTTTAAAGTATCTGATCTTTGCCATCCATCTCAATCAAAAATTTTCAGGTGCAAGTATAATAATGATAGCTTTAAGCAGAATACTATGAGCTTTATGAATAAATTATTAGAGAGACGTGAAAGAGGTATAAGGGCATCAAACAAAATTATTTACTAAAGCAGTAATGTCAGAAGCTTATCTGATATTTGTAATAATCAAGACAATAACTGGGAGTGTTGAACATTAAAACACAAACCATCAGCAACACTTAAGTAATTCACTGCACTTGACATTTTAAGGAGACACTATTTTGCATTAACATGTATTTTTTATGGTGAAACATACCACTTAGATTTGTAAATCGAAAAAGACTGGCATTATAAGAACCTAGTCTTAAATCACTTTCTACATTTATTACTCTGCTTGTGTCCTCTAATGTGGTCATTTACAATTTGTTTTAATGAGTAAGAACTTCTGTTAGCACTCAATTCTTGCCATACTGAGACCAAGATTGCCATCTAGCGAATTTTATTATATATTTTATTTAATGGTCAGTAGCAAACTTTGATTTTCTGTCTCAAAGATGAAATTTGGTTACCACAACTCATATCTAAATCACTAATATTAACATTTCACAGACGGGGATATTGAAATGGCAAAAACTTCACACACAAAAGACTTCAGCATCATTATTAACCAGAAATGCAAATTAAAAACAGCTGAGACACCCTGACAGCCTCACCAGAACACCTACCATTGATAAACCTATCAACACCACAGCTGACCAAGGTGCCAGCGACTGGGAGTGGGCAGGTTGCTGCTAAAGTGTAGGGCCCAACCTCTTGAGAGAACTGTTCAACAGTTTCAAATTGGTTTTTGTTTTAAGTTAAATAACTTCCCTGTAACTCTGTATTTTACTCCTAGGAATTTACCCAAGAGAAAATTAGATATCTCCAAAGACTGGTACTAGAATGACAAGTTTTTTCAAAAACGCTACAGACACGCAACCTAGGTGTCCGTCAATAGGAGAAGGGGCTAAAAACTAAAACCAACATGTGTTTATGACAAGTCATTTGCCTCATCTCTGTCACTTTACAATAGTTAAAAGAACAGGACTTGGTCCCAGCTTCCTGGGTGGTGGCAATTGCTGATAATTTGTGCATCCATGTCATCTGTAAAAGGGGGATAAAAATAGTCCTCTTACCTTTTAGGGAGTTAGTAGGATTACATGAGCTAATATATATGAAGCACTTGGGAAAGTACCTGGCACTTTTAGGAGTTCATAGAGAAAATACTCTTATAGTATTTCTATAGACAGCTACTTGGGACTTGAGAGGAAATAAAAATGTTGCAGCCATTCAACATTTGGAAGTATGTATTTAAAAGAAGGAAACATTTTTGAGGGTTTATATATCTAGTCAAGAGTTTAGCAGCTTTCTGACATACAAAAAATAAACTAAGTTGAATATAAGAATCTGGTAAGAAATGCTAACAAACAAGATAGAAGTAACAGAAATTTAACGGGAAGGCTAAAATGAAGCTTTTGAAGACAGAAACAGATGGACAATATAAAAGACAGGAGAAAGTAAGAGGAAGAGAGAAACAACATGAGAACAAATAAATAAGAATGAAAAGCATGTTATTAGCAAACTGGTAGAAGGCGGGGATGGTCATGGCAGAGTGGATGGGCAGCTGTTCTCAGGAGACCCACTGGGACCTTACCCTTTAAAGACAGGTATTCCATTTTTAATGAGGGTGAGATAAGATTATAACAATCATGGAGAACCCTGTTTACACAGCTATGTACTGTTCCCTTGATGACTGGCTCATTGGTATGGACAGAAAGATGCAGAGTAATATAGTGTGTTCAGTGAAATATAAAATAAGAACCTTAACACTGTGTGTTTTATCTAACATCTGCTGGTGGGCACATTATAGCTGAAGGGGACATCACAAGGTCAAAACAAAACTCAAGGAATGAGGCGGGGGAAGAAAGAACTCACATGACCATGAACCCAGTCATAGAAATTAACACCCTTAGCGCCTTATGACAAGGCATAAGGCCCAAGCAGGTATTATACTGCCATATCAGACTGCTGAAGGGAATGTTGGAGGCACAGATCTGAGGGTAAGGATACAGAGATTGGGCTCACTGTGAAATTGCCAGCCCCTTTAGCTCTCCACATAGTTCTCCAAAATCAGCAGCAAACAGGCCACCCCTTAAAGGAGTGAGCCCCTCCCCATGAGAAAAGGGCGATATCAGTGCAGTCTCTGCACTAGCATGGGACAGCGTCCACTGCCCAGCTGTGATTATACAGGTGCTCCTTTCCACCCATTCTCTACCTCTGTGGGACAGCAGCCTCCTTCCTGCCCATGACCTGTACCATGCTGGGGCTTCTCTGCACTGATCTCAGTGGAGGCCGCTCATCTAAGGCTGCCTCCCTGTGATCATGCAGGCCTTTCTCTGCAAACCTGTCCCTTTGAGGCAGCTCTTCCTGCCTGCTTGTGCCCATGCCAGAGTCCTTTCCTCCTATGACCTTTTCCCTAATAAAGCCACTCCTTATATAGAATAGTCTGTCTCATGGAGAAACTCACCTGTAGAACACGCTGTGTGAGCTGAAAGGGGAGCTGTGGTGAAACTTTTCCCAGAGTGAACCCACGGACTCTGCACTAACTCCAGAAAACGATGTCAGACAACATTGACCAACTGCCCATTATTTTAAAGGCAGACAAAAAAAAAATCGCTGAAAATTGTTCTAATGCAGACCCACCCAAAATTTAGGTGACCTCCAGGTAGGCAGGTGAAGGAGCCTGGCAATTTCTGGAATGGCTGAAGGCTCTTTGGCCTGGCAGGCAGGCATATATACTTGTTAATTGAAGTCACAGCTGTTTCATTGTTGGCTTGTAAAACACCTTCAGGCAGATATCAAAAAGGATGCCCCGTCAAAGAGCCACAGTCCGTCTGGATCTGCCTGGGGATGTAGGAGGTTCAGCTTCAGAGCTAGGAATCTGCTAGCTTCAGTCGCTGCAGTCTGCCTGAGTTTAATCACAGGCCAGGGAGCTGACCCACAGGGTGCAGCTGAACTCTTCTGTCTCCCTGTTGTTCCCCTCAGCAGTGGATTTAAATGGACCTATGCTACACTAAAAAGCAAGACATCCTCCACAGCATGTGTCTCCAGGATGCAGTTAAACAGGCCCTTTCTCTCAGCGTATGTGCCCCACCAGAGAATCATCCCGGTCTCTTGTACTTCCCAAGAGTGTCTCTAACCCTCTGAGGAGATGGGACATTGCCCATCCCTAGGAAGAGAAGTGGAAGTCACACTGCAGTTGGGAACTGAGCAAGGCAGTGCCCACTCACATCTCCAGAACCTTTACCCCGAGATTCTGGAGACAACAGCCCAGCATTCCCCACATTCTGTGCTGTACATGTGCATTTGGGCAAGCCTCATGGCAGTAGTGAGTTCTTGTGAGCTTACAACTGCTGGTTCGCTGACATTTTGTAACATGGGTCGCAGATGCCAGTGGCCAGCAACCAGCTCAGACTTCCAGCCCCTAGGGAACCCACCATTTTGGCCAGCCCTGTGCCCCCTGGCCAGTAAGTTGCTTGGCCAAAATATCGGTGAGATTTACAGCCTGGACACTGGTGCCTGCCTGTGGCCAGAGCTGACGCAAGATGTCCCACCTGATTTCTCTGGGTAGGAAGTCTGCCATGTTGGTGAGCCCTGTGCCCCTGGTGTAAGAACCTGCTAGGAGTCAGCCGCCCCCTCAGTGGTCTGGGTGGCCCTGGACCCTAGCACCTGCCACTAACTTGGTGGCCTGTGCACCCATATCTTGGTGATTCCCTTGACCCTGGGAGGTTGTTCTCACAAGGTGTTTGTCCATGAGTCAGTAGACCAGGGGCCCACTGGGTGAGATCAGAACAGACCTCTTCCCCATATTCCCCTACAGCCTTGGCCTCGGGTTTAGGGAGCCTGGCATTCTGACCCAAAGTAGATGCCACAGTGAATGCCCTGTAGGGGCTCAGGACAGGATCCATTGAACAGCTTTGCAGCCAATTCACTGGCAGTCTGAGGCAGCAGTAGTTGCCTTCTAGGGGCAAGGATAGCCTTGG